GTCGAGGATCAGCCAATGGCAGCAGCACGGCATAGTAAACAGCTGATGAAATGACATCCAGACACGGTGGTCTGGCCCCAAGTGGGTGTGAAAAACATCTGGGTACTTAGGGGGAGCGGGGCGAATGCCCGTGACAGTTTATCGGTGGACAGACAGGCAAGAAAAAGCGGGCCTGCAGCAGAAGCCCAATGCAGACCGGATGGACTGAAAGCGGACGAAAGCCACAGCAGTGAGAGTTACCTGTCGGCAGGCAGGCGGCAGGCAGTCTGACGCGGCAGGCTGCATGCATTTGCAGAACACACGGTTTTTCGTAGAGGTAGATTGAGATAGGGCGAATCGCGGAGTAAATGACTCAAGGCGAGGGTCCCAAGCTGCGAAGCGGGACTGACTGGCTAGGGAAGTGAATGGACTGCGAGACAGAGCCGCGACTCTGAGCTTAGGGTTCAGGGTGTCAAGCAAAATTGCAACGGAGGTACACTCCAAGGAGGGTAATAGCTCACACCAATTCGGATATGGCACGTGATGAGGCCAAGTAAGGTGGCTGTGGTATCGCGACGTTGAGCTAGCAGCCGAATTGGGCCCAACCAGCAAAGCGAGGCTGAGCCTAGAAAGGAGCAGCATATTGCAGGAGCGGAGCTCCGGGGAAATTGGGGCCTGCAAGAGCGCTGGGGCGTGAGTGAAAGCACCGACTAGGCAGTCGGGGCGCATGCCTCGGTCAAGGAATAGCACATGCCATGATCTTCGCGAGACATTTGCAGCAGATTCACGGGCACCTTGGTGCGCGGATGAACTCATGTCTTGAGCTGCCGTGGTCAGTGGGCAGTCAGAAGGAAGATCGAGGCGCCATAGTCGAAAAGCCGTACAAGTTCAAGAGGGCCTCGCAGACGAGGGGAACCGGTGAGAGGGCGAGGTGAAACCCCAGGGGAACCGAGTAACGTTTGAATCCAGCAAAAGGCCATGCTTTTGCAGCAAAGGAAACCCTAGGGGACCTAAGTGGGGAGTTGGCAAGAGGCTATGCTGGTCCAACATCTTATTATGGCGTGGCCTACCATCTAGCCCAGAGGGCGAGCTCTTGTCGGACAGAATGACCGAGGTGTTAGAGTAGGACATGAAGTTTGGCAGCAGATTACGGCACATGGCTCAAAGAAGCGATTGATTACAGAGCCCAAGGGCGTAGGAAAGTTTTCGCACTGGCAATGGCCAAAATCTTTAGACAGAAAGCATGTATGGTCGGAGCGTATGCACTGGGTGGGACAAGGTGCGGCACCGTTTGTGAGAACAATTTTTAAAGCACCAGGACTGGGTAGATTAGTCGGGAAGTTGTGAGTTTATGAATTGGCTGTTGGCTTGTTCAGGCGGAACAAACCAACACGCAGTATGCTTCGGCTGACAACAGGAGTCAGCAAGTTGTGCCCGGCAGGTCCAGCGACGCTTTGGCGGGCAGCAGAAAGTGGCAACTCTGGTCTTGTTGGTTTCAGGCACACTACGGGCGCGAGGGAAGGAACTCGGACGCGCGATCGATTAGCAAGCGACCCCAGCAGCTGTGAGTCAAGCACAAGCTCTTGGCACAAAGCCAAACACCAAGAATGACTTGGCAACATCATAGGCAACAAAATGTTAAGGCTGCTTGTAGACGGAGGTGCGGGTCCCTCGCACGAGGGCCCATCGGCACTGCCAGGCTCGACCTCATCATTCAATTAACGAAGACATGGCGAGTTCGGACGAACCAGGCCAAAACTCGTGGAATACCTAGACTGTACAGGTGGCGAGAGAAAAACATCGTGCCGAGCTTAACAATAAAAGGATTGCAATGCGACATGTTCATGAGATCAACTCAACATAGACGTCGCTCCTCGGCCAAACCTGCAGGTACGCGCATCTCAGGATCACATGAGCACAGCATACTGGAAACGAATGACCACCCTGACAGAGACATGGAAACTGCACGTGAATACGAAGAGAAAGCTTCAGACAGATCTCTCGCACATTAGGAATGCATGAGGCAGATGAAAGACACTTCAACTCAGAGGCTGTTCCATGGCCAAACTCGCAGACTCGACATGTTTGAACACCACCAGCAAAGCTCACCGGATCGAACGAATTCGAACGCATCAGATTCACGGTTAATGCATGACACGTCCCATTCAAAAGGACAAAGAAGTGCGCATCCACACATATTCAATTGAGTCAAGACCGTCTAGGTCATTGGCACTTCGCCCTTCGCCAAAAAGGCGGAATGTTGGCAACTAGCCGTGATCGCTTCCAGTACGCACACAAGCGCAGCACCTTGACAGCTTACGTTGACTTTAAAGCTTCAACACTCACTTCAGAATGGCCACATAGGCCGCCGAGAAGATTCTGACGTCCAGGTTTTGGGGTTGTTTCGCGGTGTTTCACCAGTCAAAAGTGAGGAAACAAAGACTATGATTATGGCTCATACGATAAGAAACGACCGACATGATACGACACCACAAGCCTAACCGACAGGTGTCATGCAAAGACGAGCGCACTGCCGACTGTTTCTCACTCTTCATGCTCATATGCCAGGTATCAACCTGTAGGCCCCTTTGGCCTGACTGCGCCCCTCGGCACATTGATAAGGTCGCTCTTGCGACTCTTGCACGAGTTGGGCGCACATTATGGCCTGTAGGAGCGTCAAAGCTGTTTCTGCGGCCGTAAGGATCCCGGTCAGCCTGGACCTTCCGTATAAATGGAGCTCGCCAAGTTTTCGGAGACCCTTCTGGCATTGAAACCTTGAGATCTCAAGAAGGATTGCACCTTGGTGACGACGGTTTCACTAGTCAGCGACAAAACCATGGCCCAGTACGACGACATACGCCTGGGAGCCAGCAGGCTCGCATTCTCCGTCTCTGGGATGCAACACTTTGCATCCAAGATCACCAGCCTGACCGAATCACTTTGAAGGCCCAGACTGAGCTCCCGAAGGAGCACCTGAGGCTTGGCACGTGGATCTGAGAGCCCTCGGAAGCCCCATTGCTGGACCCCGAGGTCTCTGCACTTGACCTTGTGTTCAGTGGCCAAGCAAATTGCCTGCATGCTACGGAAGGCAACCAGCGTGGCGACATTTTTGGGCAAAATTCCAATAAAGTCGCTCAGCCTTGCAACCTGTTCCGACAGGAGGAAGAAGACGTTGCACACGGAATGCGGCCGGAGGCACAACTCCATCGAACCTTTGTCATATACCTTAGTAAAGACTGTAGGACACGCATGCGAAGCTTTAAGTTCGCAGACGCTGTCAGCCTCACTTTTGGCGATTTTCAACACCACCCGGTGGTTATTAGGTGACAAGTCTACTGGGTAAACTTTCCGGAAGCCTCCCTTGAAGTCGCTCGAAGGGCAGACAGCATGTGCGCTTACCTTTTCAGCATTATTGACCTTTAAGGTGACATCCACTATGTCGGGCAGGAGCTCGTTGGCACACTCATCCGCTGACAGCGATGTCAGCTCAAGTTGGAGGTCAGTAGCAATGCGTGCACGACCAGGCCTCACAGGCGGCGGTCTTTGGGCATCCGGTCTCTTATTACCCCCAACACTGCGCCCAGCAAGGCAGTAACCACACAAGTCAAAGTCACACACCCGGCAACCCCACAGAAGTTTACGGTTTCCGAACTCCTTTAGGCAGCTGGAACACGTCCAGTTGGGACCCGGTGTCCCAAATCTGAACAGCGGGTGGCCCGAGTTGCACTCAGGCTTTTGGTCCAGCTTATTCAACAAGGCTTCGGCGGCATCTTGAGTGAGCACTGCAGAGCTGCTGTCCTCAGACGAGGATCCCAGGGCAGCATGGCCCTCTGTTGGAATACGGTCCACCTTCGAACTTGCCACATGCAACGCAGGTGGTTTCTCTGTGGAAGTAGTGGCGGGGCAGCTTGGCTGCTGCGGCTGCTGCCTGTGTTGGCGAGAGGACTGCCCAAAGTCATGGCATGCACGGACCCTTCCTTCGGCACAGCAACAGACACACTGCCCAAGGCTCCACTTTTGCCCGGGTGGGAGGAGTCGCATCCACTTAGACTTTGATCGGGCTTATTTGCAACTAACCTTCTACCAGGTAGAGGGTTTATGGCACCAAAACCCCTAGTTAGGGTGGCGGGGGGGATTGTGGCAAGTTGCTTAGGACTAAGTGGGGTGTTGCTCGGCTGGGCTGCACGAGCATTCACTCTGCGCTGCCACGGGCTTGGTTCATCAACCCCACTAAACCCCCTCTTACCCGTTTGGGCGGCCACCGGCGAGGTCGCCGCGGGACCTTCTGAAGACATCGACTAGTAGTCGTACTTCTGCAGCCACCAGGCAACGATGCAACGGGCACAGTAGTGGCATTTATGACCGGTGCGCTTGCGAATGCAGGTATAGGCCTTGCAAACCTGGCACTGCTCAGGACACACACGTACATCGACATCCATATCGGAATCGGTATCCTCCCAATCGGAGGATTGAAGGCGATAACGCCGTCGACAAAGGGAGTTCCCCATGGCTCAGAGAAAAATTTCTGCAACCTTACATGCGCAAGATCATCAGCTTGTTCAGTAAGCAGATAGCATGTTATGTCACTTGAGGCTTATGCACGACCGACTTCGAGCTACCTTGAGAAGGCGAGCGCGGGTACAGAAGATGCAAGATAGCACCACTTGGCGCTCATGTTGACAGAAAATTTTTCGGCAGCCGTTTCCTTTAAAAATCAAAGCCCGATTTTTCAAGGAAGTTCAAGCTCAAGATATTAAGGGACTATCAGCGCACGCACTGACGGCCTCCAGGCTTATAGCTGAAGCTACTTTTCGCACGAATATAATAATTGAAAAGAGTCATTCTCAAAACATCAATCAATCATATATGCACGGGGATATAAATGTGCAGACAATTGTAGCTTTGCAGAACGCACACGCATCGGACTCACTCTTTTTTCTGTAGGCGGCACAGCCGATTCGGGAAAGATCCGACACTCGAGAGATAGCCGATCGAGCATCATTCACGAGGATTGAGCTCGTTCAACAATCTCCCGTCTCACCAAACGAACTCAAGAGCTCGCCGGATATGCAGCACTTCGGATGATCCCTCGAGCATGTGCCCCACACTGGGAAAAGGCTGGACCCCCTAGACGGAGGGTCTGCAGGATTGCTTTGGCTAGGAACGCGGGCATACCAGGCGATCATAGGTTTGGCATCCGCTTCCTCAAGCTTCAAAAGGATGAGCCGCCAGAGGCGATCGTGTGACGATCCATTGACACACGCGGCGTGCACACCGGCGTGGTCGATGAAGAAAATGCCTTTGGCGAAATCGAGATGCTCTCGCCACAACAGTCTTGCCGTCGCCACTGCGTACAACTCAACGGGCCCTATCAAGTGTTTCTTCCCAGAAGCACTCCAAGTCTTGACAAGCGAATCGGGCAGTCGGCAGCCAAAGTATCGAGTGGCCCACTTGCCGGAGCTCTCAACATACAGCACCCCACCGATGGAGCACAGCATGCTATCACCCTCCGGCTCGCAGGCGCCGTCTGTAAACACAATAACATTAGCCCCAGGTGGGCGAGCGGAGATCGCCCGAGGCGGTCCATGAAGCAAACGCTCACGAAGATTCTGGAAGGCATGACGTTCTGAGTCACCGAGCTTGAGGATACCCCCGGAAGTCCCAAGGGAGCGAAGCTCAGACAAAGCCAGTCGCCCCATACGTCCCAGAAGCTGCCCTTCAAGAAACTGAATCCTCCCGAAGAGAGAAGCGATTTCCGCAGACCGAATGGCGCCCCTCTCAAGAACCTCATCGACGGAGGCCGCCACCTCGCAGCACTTTACCTCCCGGTTGCGCACACGCACCTCGGACAAGTCTTCACAAGAAAGGTCTACAGTGACTCCCAAGACGTCGGCACTGCTCTTGAACGGCTCTTCCTTCTCGGTAGAGCACTCGAAGCCGAGTAGGTCAAGTATGCAATGGGCAGTGGAGTCGGCGCTCCCCGACAGGGCGGATAACTCCAACACCGGAAAATCATCAAAATAGTTACAGTTTAAGATCCAGGCTTCCTGAAGAATCCGTGGGATCAAGCGTGCAACCCTGTTAAAGCATGTCACGCTCCCCGAGGCCCCGAAGGGCAGGACTCTCGATGCGTAGCCCCGCACTTGGCCGCTGTCTGGGTGTTTCAAGGCGACCACACAAAACCTGCGATGCTCCGGGTGGAGCGGTAGCTGTTTATACGCCGCCTTCAAGTCGATAGTTTTCAACAAGGGGCGGGCACGATCGGTCTTGATTTTCCAGAAGTCGTGGAGAGGTCCCGAGATCACCCGACCACAGGAGAGGACAAGGTGGACGGCTCCTTTTTGCACAAGTACTCGCATGATGTAAGTGGCACACCAAACAAGCTCATCGAAAGCACGCAAGGTGAGCTTGTCACAAGCGGCAAATGCACTGTTTGCACCGTTGGCGGCTAAGTCGTCAATGGGGCGCAACTTGTCGCGTTGGCGTACACCAAACCTTTTGGCCGGGAGCCAATCCCCGAACAAAAGCTCAAGTTCTTCCCAAGTGCGTGGTTGTTCAAGCCATCCCTTCTCGCGGTATTCAGCCTCAGTGATTTCAAAAAGCTCACGAGAGTTCGCATCCAGTGGAGCGTCGTTGATCTGTTCCCAGATCAAGGGCTTGGTTGACCGAGACTGAGCCAGCAACTCCTCAGGCGTGAGGGTCGCAGGTCGAGGCTCAAGGGGGAAAATTCCGCTCGGGTTCTCCTCGCCCACGATCTTGAAACCACTGGTCATATCCCGATGCAAGCGGGTGTCAGGCCATTGCAGGGATTTGGCTATGCGATCAAGGAGGAGCAGGCGCTTTCCTTTGACCACTTCGGCAACGGAAGGGGCTAAAGATTTGTGCAGTTCGGCCGGTTCTAGTTCGGCTGCCCAAGCTTTCCACTGGGTTATCATATCCAGCCTTCGTCTGAGGACCTTGACAGGACCCTCGATGAGCAGATGGCCCAGGACGGTCATAGCTTGATCGGGTAGCGCCCTGCACATGTCACAAGGATGGCCAACATTCAAAGCTCGCTCCGCAAACTGAAGAGGGCTTCGGTAGACTCCACACGTGATGGAAACCAATGGTCGGGTCGAGGGCGCTTAGGGAAAATTACACCCGCCTCAAAATTAACCCTAAGAACCCGAGAGCCGGCAGGAACAGGGCCTAATGCCTCCACGAGGCAATTCTTAGGGTCAAGAGAGGGCAGGGCACTCGAAGGTGCGGGCACGGTAACTTGATAGTGGTATTCCTCGACTAGCACGACGGCCTTTGAAACACGCGGCTGGAGCTGATTGGCGGTACGGGCCGAAGCATTGGTAACAAGGGCTTGTGTCGGCACAGTGTCAAGTTGACCGGCGGCCAGGGCGACGGCAGATGCAAACCTTTCACAAAAGTGGTTCGTGCGCACGAACGATGGCGCGGCGGCAGCCGCGCGAACCTGACTCCCGGAGGGGATCTTCGAGGCATCGGCCGGAGTTTCAAAAACCCGAAGTTCGGGCAATGAAGACATCAAGAGAAAGCTTTCATGTGGCCCGGGACCACAGCCGGCCGCATCAAAGGAGACCTGAATGCAAGACCGCTGAAGATCCAGCAAGCCAGACTGTTTCCAAAGTGCCGCGGAGGCGGGGCACACAACGGAGAAGTGCACAGAAGGAAATTCGGAACGGAGCCAGCAGCAGAAGTCAGCGACGAGCGGAGCCACTGCATCGGCAAGCGAACCGCGAGCCGGCGGAGAGAGATGTACCACGAACACATCCCCAGCTTGTACAAGCCTCTTCACGTATTGCCAAGACAGGGGGCGAGAAAGGTCCAGCGGGGTCACGTGGATAGGCCCCTTAGCACGACGTCCAAAAGGAAGGGCTTGGAACCCGAAGCTCCGCAATGCAGAAGTCATATTGCCAGTTTCGGCTAAACAGCTCTAGGCACAACCAAGGGCAAGCTTTAACCGAAGGCAAACCCATCGAAGGTGCACTAGGGCCGGGGGGACTAAACCCTAGAGCGGGCCTAAAATCAGGAAAACCGACTGTGAAAGCGGGGAGGGGAACCTCAGCAGGCTCCTGATTCGGCAATGCGAACCCCAGCTTGCGAAGCAACTGGGAATCTTTTGTTGCGAGGCGGTCCGAGCCTTTCAAGCAGTAAGCAATCAAAACAACACGCCGACCGCGAGAAGGGTTCACGGAATGCCTAACAGAGCGGGCATCAAATGCAATGGGTCCCTGATCCAAGGACACGGCGCGAGCCCTGAAAGAAATCTCACCCCTCTGAACCAAGGATCCCGTGGGATCCTCTAGAAGCAGTTCGCCTCCCCCAAAACGAGTCATCGGGATGACCAAGTTCTGGATGCAGACGTTCTGAGCATCTTTGTGGACACCAACACGAGAATCCTCGGTAACGACCAAACTGGAAAACAGCATCGTTGGGTCGACGGCTCGAATCAACGAAGTCAGAACTTTCACCTCCTCGGGGTGCCGGTGGACCGAAGTTCGCAGCCCTACGACACCCTTAGAATACATCCCGCTGTAAAAAGCCTTCCCAACCTGGTCTCGATGAGATTGGGCTTTGGTCCCAACTGACTCGTTTGGGAGGCTGTCGAAAAAGCTCAGGCACCTTTGAAGAATTGCGGAAAATTTATCGTGCTGAGAAGAACTGGAAGCTGGTTGCCCATGCGCATCCGCTTCGAAAGATGATCCGCCGAGGAAGTGTTCCGGTCCCGAGCTCTGGCTGGCTTGGGCATCCGAATCATTTCCTGCCTGGCCAACACCGGCCACACGACCGATTGACTCTGACGAATCATTCGTCGTTGTGCTCGCCTGGCACCGTCACTCTTGCTTCCTCTTCGGGCACGCGGAGGCCCCGTGCCCGTGCTGCCCGCACTTCGGGATGGCACAAGCATGCAAGCCTCTCACACAGGCATTGTTGGTCACAGCATTGGTGCAGTTGCCAAGCTGAAACCCATAACAATAAGGATCTCCTTTCTTGGTAGTCGAAGTGCAGCCCCAAGCGATAAGCTGTGCAGGCATGCGTCCCTGTCCCTTTCCCTTGCCCTCTTTGCCTTTCCCAGCGCCCTTTCTAGGACCCTTGGGAGTGTAGGGAGCGGGGCGCTCCTTGCCGGAATCATCGGAGCTCCGCCCACTGGCCGACTGAGGCATGGGCTGGAGCAAGCAGACCACATCGTACGACATCATCACAGCAGGGAGGTGCTTGTCGAGCGGGCGTACCCCTCCACTTGATGACTGAACTCCGTCTCTCGTCAGGTCTCTCAACTCACTAAAGAGCTTCTTGTCTGCAGCCACAAGCTGGCTCCAGGACGGACGGCTGTACTGGGGCGGCGGATCGTCCATCCTGGCTCGCAACAGGCGGTCCGACCATTGCTGCATCAGGGTGTACTCAACAAGATTGGCCTGATCCAGGGCAAGTGATCGCCTCTGCAAAGCCTGAAGCACATGGACCTCCGACGCAGTGGAGGCCTTGTCCTCAGCATCTTTGTTCTCAACTTTGAGCTTCCCAGAGTGCTCATCGATCGTAAAGCGAGTATCCTTCTTGCGTTCCGATGCAACCTCTTGTTCCCGGGAGGTGCAAGATTCCCAAGAAATGTACCTCAGCTCATTTTGCTCATAAGCTGACACGGCCTTATCGACGAGTGCCTCGCTGGGCTCCGAAGGGCCCTTGATAAGCACGCCCACGAGCTTCGCGACTTGCTTCTCATGCCTCTCGGCACGCTCGGGCTGGGTGAGCCTCCTTGCCGTGGGCTCTTCACTCTTCTCGATCTTTTGACGCATCTCCGAAGTAACGATAGCATAAGCCTCGTGGTATAATGCCCTGAAACTAGCTTGAACAGCCAATTCAGCATCCCGGCTCAGCATCGACTTCAGAGCAGCCATAAGTGGGGCCTCATCCGCTTGACCCGGAGTAAAGCTGGATATGAAAGCAAGTTGCCGAAGTGTACCCACAGCAGCCTTGACCTTCGCAGCATCTTCCCGCGGCAACCCACATGCGTCTACCCTGGCATCAAAAACACTACGGCTATCTGAGTAAGAAGCAGCCATGTTGCCGCCTCCGCCAGTTGGCGCCTTGAGAATACATTTCCGAAGGAGCATTCACAACAGTACCTGCACTCGGCTCGACCCGCATCTGATCCCTCAAAGCGCTCTCTCAGGTCTCCAATAAGGAATCGAATGCCCTGGTTTACGCATGTGCAATGACTTCAGCATGGACTGTTCAACTTGAAACACTCGCCCCTCTTGTAAAAGAGACTCGAACCGTCATGAAAACGAGCAAGCAACTCTTTAAGCACAAAATCGCCCCTCGTTGTGTCGCCCTTGCGACAACAAAAGTCTATCCGGCGTCAGTGCCCGCCTCGACCGATTTCACGTCGGGACAGCACTGCTTGCATACTGGAAACAAAACTTTCGGCAGACTCTCACAGCGCACATAATAAGTTGAAATCTTTCTCCCACACTTGAAATGAGACCCTTCTTCAGAGGCCACAATGTGGAGGAACCTTGTTACCTCATGCCTGAAGACAGGCGCCTTCTCAAGATTCTCACGGACCCCTTCCGAGGGCTCCCAAAAGCCAACAACTGAATCGACGGCCTCGTCCTCCACGGTGGGGTCCTTGTTCTCCTCGTCTTCGCTGCCTTCAGAAGAGAGAGATATGTCATCTCCATCACCGGACTCAGCAGGAACTGGAATCGATACGAACATGCCGCTTCGAGTGGCATCCGGTCTGAAAGTACCTTGGGCAATGGACTGAAGCATGGAAACCAGCTCTCGCAGCGCGGGGGCTACGTTGTCTCGGCCGTAAACCACATCACTGTCGGATCTAGAGGAGCTGTGGTACCCCAAGATCATACGCAATTCCTTGGTCATGCCCCACTTTGCGGCCCAGCTTAAAACCGTAGCCTTCATCGAATGGGTCCCTAAAAGCCTAACCCCAGCAGCAGGCTCAAGTCCCATGCGATGAAGGAGGCTGCGGAGCCAGCGGGCCCCAACCTCAACGCCGACAGGAGATTCCTGCCATCCCCCACCCTCCACGGGAGAGGGCAACAGAGGCAAGTCCTCCCCGCAGGGAGGGCCGTGATCCTTAGCGATAGCTCTCCAAGCGATTGCCCACGGCTTCTCAGCCAAGCCCCAGATCGGAGCGCACATTGCTAAGAACTTTGTTTTTCTCTCCAAAGTGTATGCAGTTTTCGTCCTGGTGACATCGGCTTGCAAGAATCCGTGAGGCTCGCCGTCAATGTAGGCAATATCCTCAAAGATGTTTCCACAAGACTGCATATCACTAAACCTGGCACGGGCATAGATCGCAAAAAGGCAGCATCCGGCAGCGTACCTGTCCGCCCAGCTAAAATCGCCCTGACCGAGAACAATATTTTCCAAGGCAAGAACGAATGCAGCCAGAAGCGGTGGCTTCTGCACAAGCTTTCTCTTTTCAAGGAAAAGGCCTCGGGCCGCCCCGGTCACCCTGTTGGAGAAAACCTCATCTTGACACCTCAGGCCTAGCAAATGGTAGCAAAACGCCAGAGACCCCAGAAAGCTGCTAGCAAACGTAGGGGCCTGCTTAGAACCATATTGCTTGAGGAAGAAGTAAATCAGGCTCTCACGAAGAGGAAATGGTGCCTGCCCCTCATCGTGACAGAACTTAAGGAATCGAAGCAGGGGGCCTGAACGAGTATGCAAAGTGCTGCTGGCTTTCACCGAGAAAATGTCGCTCAAGACATCATGCAAGGAGCACGAGGCCAGCTCAGGCTCACGGCGGGCTTCCGCAACAAAGCCAAAGTGCTCGGAGTGAGCTTCCACAATCCTTTCCCACTTTACAAGCGCGGCAAGCCTGTTGTCAGACATCTTGGCTTTCCAGGACTTCCCAAGAGACTTTGCTTTGGGCCCGACATGTGATATGGAACTTTGGCCAGGATCCTTGGGCGGAGGGGCTGGCCCGCTCGACAAGCCGAGCGGCACGGCAACTGCCACCTGCTGATGCCTGGGAAGCTGTGGAAACAACCTGAAAGGCTGAAGCACAGGGGACCTTTCCCAGGGCTGCACGAACCGGCTCTTAGGACCTTTGAGCACCTCATCAAGATGTTGTTCATATGCGTGGTCGGCCGACCGCTTCATGATGACAGCTTACTCCCCAAATCACTCGGCAGAATGAAGCAGGTAGGCTGAGACTCAGGCTGCAAGCTAGCGACGCGTAAGGCAAGTGAAAAACGAACCGACAAGAGAAGCGGCCCACGTGCTCTCGGAGTCGGAGACTCGCGAGGAAGGAAGCTGCTGTTCCAAATGCCTGATTCGCCTTTCACAAGCGGTCACGTGGGCCTCAAGAGTATTAACCTGAAGCTGAAGCTCGTAAAGATGCCTGCTGATTTCGCTCACAGTGCTAGGGCCGCTAGGGGAGTCACTTGCACCGCGCTGACTAGAACCTGCAGACAAAGCGTCGCCAAAGTCCATCCGACCGCCGCACGGCGGCAGTCTTGCACGGAGGGCTAGGCCCAGCCTTGGGTTAGCACCTGGGGGCTGCTAGCAAGCACTACAGGCCTTTAGAGAGCCCCACACCACAAAAATTTCGAATCTCGCCAGATGGCGAACTCGATCCACAAATGACTGCCGAAAGCAAAGTCATTCAAAAGATCAACATCAAGGTTCGCATCATGACGAGAGATTCACGGCAAAGTCAACAAGTTAAAAATCAGGTTGTTTGCCCCCCCAGGTTCAAAGAAGGTTGTGCGAAAAGCGAGTTTCAAAAGCAACGTCGCATTTGAAACATAGCTTGAGCTATAAAGCCAAATGAAACAAGTTTCAAAATAGGCAACTGACGATAACACTCATAGGGGCAACCATCGGGTCCCGCCGAAGAGTCACCCGTGCGCAAGAGATGGAACATGATGTCCTCCTCCTGGGGAAGAGCACACCTGGCTGCAGGCTGTGGCTGATAATCGCGGAGGACGAGCTCCCATTCCGGGGATGATCGGTGAAGATCCCATCTCGGGTGTTTGTGTGGCATACGTGCCCCCAGCTGCCGAGCGTCTTTAATTATGGGAGGCGGGGCAACATTGACCGTTTCCAGTGTTGTCAACTGCATGACAACTTGCTGAGCCTCCACAGCACTGATTGTTACCGGCTGGCCTTGCGTATGAAGGGGCCGTGCTTCAAGCAGGTGTTGGAAAGTCTCAAAGACGGCCCATGGGACGGTGAAGGAGGATGCGTGCGGGCGTCTGCGCTGTCGCTTCAGTAAGTATGGAAGGGCGCCATATTTCCCTTCTGAGACCGCACAGGAGGTGTGCTCAAGCTCCCCAGCCCACCACACATGAAAAAGACTTTGAAGGTCTTGCAATGTGGGTGAGTTAGGAAGAAGGACTTTGAGCCTTTCCAGGCGCACCTTGGCCGGATGAGACGAGTGTGCAGGGATGCATGTTGAAGGAGCGTACGATTGCTGCTTAAAGGCACGTATTGGTATCGCTCGACAGGTAGACGCTCCGACGTCATTGGAGAGCACGCGCGCTTTACGTACCCGCAATGTTACGACACCATGGCCTTGTGGGAGTGCATGGGGCCAAAATACCCGACTCCTAAGGCGGCGGCAGCCTTCTGCTTCCTCATTATGATTATGCAGAACTTCGTCTAGGCAAGACGACACATTACCGGAGCGATAGGTCGGGATTCCACCTCCCGAGACTCTACGGAGGAGCCCCTCCGCACAGAAGAGTTCCCATAGTCCTGGCTGTTTTTCGCCCATGTGATTGAAGTCTCCCATCACAAAGAGCTCGTCTCGTTGGGATCTTGCCGCAAGGTACGAAACCAACGCACGGCCGACTTCAGCAAGCTTGTCTGGATGAGCATATACGCAGATGATCTCACAGCGATGAGCGAAATGTTGGACTCTTGCCGAGAGGACTAAGCCAGGCAAAATTTCAGTCTGCGAAGTGAGGGTGAAAGGAGATGGGACTAAAATAGCAACGCCCGAACTAACTGAAGCAGAAGTCGCCGGTGAAGATGCAATTGCCGCACGCGGAAAAGTATGTGCAGCCGCGACCGGGCCAGCCGCATCCCAGTTAGTCTCCTGCAGACACACCGGACCTTTCTTTAGCAGACTAAGGATCGTGTTAGTCTTGCACACCGCCGAAGTGCTCGTCCACACCGTGTAACTGGAGACATTCCATGTGGATACTTGAAATGACAGGCCAACACCTGTGGAAGGGTCGGGCGATAGCTTGGTCGAAACAATTTGCTGGGCCAGGGCGAGTATTGCCCCCCCTAGTAATTCCTGGAAGGAATCCAAGTTCCCAGGCTGTGGCGGGTAGCCTAGAACAAGGGCCAGAAGGGGACAAGGCTCCTGACGGCCGCTTGGGTGAGGTAGGAGACCAGCCTTCCACTGATCCAAAAGAGCATCCAAGCACTGCGTGACAGACGCCTGGGACACTGAAGGTGGAACATTGGTAAAGTGTAAGGTTGCTCTAAGGGCCGCTAGCGTTGGGAAGGTTATAGGGACGCCTTGTAAATGCCAAATCAAATTTAACGACCGTACACGACACCGCTTGGTGTGGGCTTGCAGAGTAGCTAAGAATTGGAAGCAACGTAGAAGAGCCGCCCTCACAGGAGGGTGTATAAGGGATGTTGTGGCAATCGTCATCCTCCTTTGAGTGCAATACTCGTGGCTGGTTGTGGCACATAGCCAGGGACGACCATTATCGCTGCTTCATTCTCAGCTACTGGGGCAAGCTTGATCAACGCGGTGTGTGTACGGGACTTGGCATCGAGGCTATCTGGTAGCCAGGTAATAGGCGTTAGTGATGCAGGCTGTTGAGCAGGCCATTCAACTTCATAAGCACAGGCTCCAGAAGGCTGGCCAGTACAGCCATTAAGCAGGGTAGAAATGATATTGAGGATCTCATGCTCAATGTGGGCGGGGTCAATTTCCCGGACCATAAATCCTCAGGAATGAAAGCGTTGCCTAATAATGGAAGCAACGCGAGAATTATGGCCTGAACAAGATGGAAGTGACCTAAGACAGAGAGGGGACCGCCAGATACACTCAGAGCGCATGCAACCTCAAGTGTCGAGTAATTAAAAAGGAGGACAGCTGCATGATCGACTTGAAGATATGCGGCAAGGACCTCAAAGTCATCGGTAGGTAACTTGAGGTGCGGGAAAACAGGAGAGTTGAAGAGGGGCAACACCTTGTCGGTGATGGCCCCCTGGCCAACCTCGGCCTGGAACCAAAGGGCGCCAGTCAAGCTAGGTGGGATAGCAACAAAGCAGACTGTATGAACGGGGACAGCCTCAGGCTTAAAGGCCCAGGAAGCGAGCTTACCATCAACAAGATGTAGAAAGACAATAAGCCGGCCATCAAGGACGCTCGGAATGGAATTAAGAATAAAGCAAATGTACCTTATGTATAAGTCCTCTAGATCACGTGCCTTGGTACCGCAAAATTCAACAACGGATATTTTCCGAAGGGTGCTGCACCTGGGGAATTGCGAGAGGATCTGCGATGTGGTAACATATGCCACAGTGCTCAGCGGGGTCCCAAAGGACTGGAAGAGATTCCGGAGCTTGACCTCAAAGGCTGCCGGGAGTTGCTCCAAAAGTTGCGGTGTGGCCTCAGGTGGCTCATGGATGAAATCCGAGCCGCTTCCCCCTAATCCAGTACTGGAAATCAACACTGGCAAACGGCTTGTGGCCGACGGTTGGTTTACTTACCCTGAGATTCTCAACCCCGTGCCAAAAGGGGGGCGCTAAGATATCGTCGCCCTTAGACTGAGGTTTAATATCCCGCTTCCATTCTTGTGCCCGTTCATGGGAGACCTGCCGCTGGCTAACAGAGGTGTCAATGAGTTCATGTACAGACTTTTTCAAGGCTTCATAGTGCGCACGAAGCTCGTTTGGTGACGGTACTGCTGCTATCGGTAGACAGCTTGCCAGGTCGGTGACAACAAACCGACGCACGACGCTGGGTATAAAGGAGTTTCCAGCGAGGGAAGCAATGAGACTGAGTGAAGTCGAGCGCGGAACAACTCTGAACGCCTCGAGGAGCTCTAAGTCAGCAAGTATCTCTTAGAGCTTTATCGGGCGAAAGGGAAGCGAAGTAGTTTGGAGATACTCAAAGAGTGGCTCGAGGGTAGTCTCCAAACCTTGATCAATGAAGCCGTTGCAAGAATTGCCGGCTGTGACAAAGGTAATCCAACTTGGCAAGAGGTGTGCAGGAAAGAAATCCTCCCAGGGAATAACTGGGTAGCGTTGCTTAGATGCAGCAGGATTGCAGCAAGCAGCCTCGAAGTTGGCACAACTCCCGACATAGGAGATCTGATACAACAGAAAGCGAGGATGATACAGTGCGGTTGTCAATCGTGGGGCTCCATCCTGGATCTCTCCCCTTGGCCGCATAAAGGGGGGGAGGGTGGCTCGCGAAACTCGGCCATGGTCGTCAATCACAAGAGCAGGAGACCACCCTGCTTCAATCGGATAAATGCAATGCCGCTGCACCCCCGTAACAGGTTGACTGGATCGGGAGAAGAATGCCCGCTTTCGGGAGGCAATCTTGCCAAAATCTGCAGCATCTGCAATCGAAAGTGCACTGGCTGGAAGGCCAAGACACCAAGTAATGTGCCGCTGGAAGATGGGTTTCATAGAACCAGCGTTCTCCAGGATGGGTTGGATGGCAATTGCCGGGGGAAGGAGGAGCTGTAGCGCGCGAATTGTTGCCCAGACGTAGTAAAACGCTGAGCTCCGCGGTCCCGTGAGTCCAAGGTGCCCTTTACTATAACCAGCAAAGGAGAGGTCAGGGCACGGAGAACCAACAACGACATAGATGCACCCAAGCGTTGCTTCACACAAAAGAAGCATTTCCTTGATTTTCTTACAAGAATTATCAAGGATGTCAGCTACGTCTTTTAAGTAGGCGACAGGGTAACCTCCTCCACACTCCTGCCAGTCGCCGTGAACGTCAAAGTGGCGCAGGGTAGAAACTAATGCCCGTATCTTATCGCTTTGTTCTACAGCTATTAGGGCACTGGGATGCTGTTTATGGCATGAACGAATAATATCGACTGCCGTACAAGCTCCATCAAACAAAGAGATGACAGCATAAGGTGCG